CCTAGACGGTCCAGGCCCCAGTTTCATCAAACTTGTTATCAATAACAAGTGCTTGAATGCTATAACAAAATTTCTTTCAGCCAATCAAAAGCAATAATTTCAGTAGCTTATAACAGTTATTGTAACTTGTTATTGATAACAAGTTTTATGAAACATGGCCCTGATGTGATTTCCATGAAAGCTACAAGGTCCGAAACAATGGGTAAAATTACTTGACGTAATCAATCATTTCCATACATGTAAAGTCATATTATAATTGACTGTACAAGCAAGCGAAGCAACCGCAAAAAAAAAAATACACTTCCATTATTGTAAAAATATTACATCTTTATCCAGTTTCCCACAAGCATCCGGATTTTCGTTTGTGTGAGCTAACGAAGCGAGCGAACAAAATGGACTGTTTGGTTTCCTTAGAATGTTGTTTCATCATCAAAATGAATTAGCCAAGATGCAAAAAACATAGTTTATTCCGGCACCTTGAAGCATGAATACATATTCTGGGGGTGTTTCACGAAGCTGTTCGTAAAGTTACGCATGACTTTGCGAACGACTTTTATATGAAAAGCCAAATGGGATACTCAATCATTATCAACTGTATCAACTAAAGTTGAACTGTCCAGGTGTAGTTTAACATTCTTATTATAACAAACATTTTGTATGCAAAGTATATTTTTTGCCATAATTTAATTGAGGTTATTGGAAATATCAGAACAAACTTTGGGCATCCTATCTGGCACTTCATATACAAGTTGTTCGTAAAGTCATGCATAACTTTACGAACAGCTTTATTATATGTAGCACCCCCAGGACATAAGCGGCTCTCTATTCACTTCTTCTTTAACTGGGGCAGAACGAACTCTCTGGAGAACTTAACAAGGTCCCAGAAGTTAGCAAGGTAACAGGATTTAAGATTTAGATTTCTTCCAAGTGCTAAACTCTCCCAAATGTTAATTTTTACACTGGGGTATATTGAGACGCAATAAGGAGCAAACCGATGAGAATATAATATTTTCTAACCTTTCAACAAACGCTATTTATAAAGCTATCTTTATATTGGGGCTCGAAGATGCGAGATCCAGTTGAAGCAACACATATAAGGAAACAAACGTCCGAACCTTGCACAATATTCTTATCTTAAACATTGGAAAAGTCTATTTCTCATACAATTTACCTTTCGGTTTGGCAATAAGAATCGTGGATCCAATTCTACTTTTTCCTTTTTTTGCGCTATCTTTTGCATTGTTTGCGCCCCCTCCACGCGCCACTTAGGGCTTGTTTGAAGTCTATATCTGATCTAAGGAGAATGTTTACAGTTTAAAAAAAATATATTAATAAAAAGATAGAGCCTCCCGCGGGCGGTCCGGATTGACATGCCCTGCCGTCCGGACTTTGAGAGGCCCTGAAATAGGGTATAAACTACAATAGCATAACTTCAACAAAGTTCAATCTAAATAATTATGCCAAGTTTTAATGAAGCTATCTACATGCAGATTGCGGAGGAAATGGATAATGCACACAGAGGAAATTGATAATGTTCACTTTATCGAAAATATTATTTTTAAATTATTTACCGCTGTAGGGCCTATAATACTCTTTTTATTGAGATTATGAAAAGGATAAGGCATCAATAATTGGCGTAAACAAAATATCAAAATATTATATTATACACAATTAGCGGGGACAAGTTGTTTTCTGGTAATGGAAATACGTAGAGGAAATGGCTTAGATTAGTACGAATCCCTACCAAAGCAATAACGTCCTTTGGTGTGACGTACATGTATATCTACATTTGCCACACTCGAACCAGGGGCCTGTTTAACATACAACTTTTTATCAATAACAAGTTACGATAATTGCTATAAGCTACTGAAATCCTTGCATTTGATTGGCTGAGAGCAGATTTGTCATAGATCTGTGGTACGGTAATTGCAGTAAGCTACTGAAATCCTTGCATTTGATTGGCTGAGAGCAGAATTGTCATAGATCTGTGGTACGATAATTGCAGTAAGCTACTGAAATCCTTGCATTTGATTGGCTGAGAGCAGAATTGTCATAGATCTGTGGTACGATAATTGCAGTAAGCTACTGAAATCCTTGCATTTGATTGGCTGAGAGCAGATTTGTCATAGATCTGTGGCAGTGTTATGAAACAGGGCCTTGGTGCAGCAAGTGGGTACCCGTTAGAATGTATCCATTGCATGTGCAGAGCGCTATCGGTTGCTTGAGCTAAAAGCTTTGGTAATGATTTCCAAAGTGCATAGACACGTTATATTTTAATGTGCTATGCGCTATACAAGAACGGCATATTATTATCATTACTATCGTCATTACCATTAATTAAGATCATTATCATTATGATCATTATTCATATTATTATTAATATCGTTAGTATTATCATCATTATCATTATTCTTACTATTACTTATTATTAATTTTATCATTAGTTTTATTATCATTATCGTTATTATTACTTTTATTATTATTATTATTAATATAATTCGTATTATTATTATTATAATTATCATCATCATTATTATCATTATTAAAAATTGCTCTATATCACGTTCGCTGAAGAGCTTAACTCATATGAGAATAGGTATATGCTACATGTATAAGACTATACTGCCTCTGTTTCCTTATCTTTCTTCCTCATTCATTAGCTGTCATGCTCCTCCTAACAAGAAATCACTTATATTTAGTCTACGATATTCAGCTTCGTTTATGATATTACTAAAGTACACTGTCACTAATTTAGGAAATGGAGAATCTGTAAAGGCAGGGCAAGAGATGTCAACACCCTTAGGGCACTGTGCCACTCACGTCTACAAGTTTTCACAACAAGGGGTTATCCCTACGTAAACTCAAAAGGGCACTCCCCTCTAAAGTGACTCAGTAGCAGGCGCGTACGCAGGGGGGGGGGGGGGGGAGGTTTTGGGGTTAACCACCCCCCCCCCCTTGAGTTTTTTTTTATGTGTATGTTTTGTGCATGTTTTTTTTGGAACCTCCCCCTCCCTTTAGAGTTTTTTTTAAAATAAAAATAAAATAAAATTATACTAATGGCTGACCTAAAAACGGTGACCTTACCCCCCCCCCAACGGAACAGAATGTCAAATTTTCAAGCTTGGAGACCAAAAAAAAGTGTCCTCCTACCCCCCCCCCCCCCCGCTTATTCAGCGGCTGGCTAAGTCGTTGCGAAATTTTTGGCCCGATTTTAACCCCCCCCCCCCCCCCTTGAAAAAAATCCTGCGTACGCCACTGCTCAGTAGCATTGTTGAAGGTTGATGGAAAAACTGTGTAATTTTTGTATGAAATACTACTTATTATATTCCTTCTACTGTACTACCCTCTAACATGCCAAAAATCCTGAAAAAAAATCTCAAACCACAAAGATATTAATGGTTTTCTTTGAAGGCGTCACTGTGCGACGCCACCTAACAGTAAATTCTCCCAACCATTTATGAAATTTTCCATGAAATAAGACATAAGACAGGCTTTTAAAAATCTTTCAACACTTAAATGTCTGGAATGGTATATACATGTAGAGCCAATTCATTGCTTTGTGAGGAACATTAATCTAAAATGTATAATTAAATTGTAATGAAATAGTTAGGAGAATTGTGGAATCGATCAGATCAGTTTTTCCCAATTGTTATCATTAATAATGGTCAGTTTTCACTCAAACTTTCAGATTATCTTTCATTGTACATCTAGCATTGAACCATTTACTCTCATCTGAACAATGTTCACAAGTTCCTTTAAGAAAATGAGCTATCTTCTCAATCTCTCTTTAACATGCGTATTACAAGAAGAGAATTAACAAGTTAATTAAAAACAAATATATAAGTGATTATTCATTCTCAGTTCGGCTCATTTTATTCTATGAACAACATCTGTCGCGAAATTCCAGTTGGAAAACATAGTACATGAAGTCGTATAAATTATTTGAAACAAATCTTACCAATTTAGATTTAAATTTTGTTGTACTTTTAATAACAAGTCCCATCTTAAAAAGCAGAAAATATTATTTCAGTGGCCCGAAATGTGGAACATTCAATATGCTTTTTTCGTGTTTGGTTTGGTTTTTTTTTTTTTGGTGTGTGGGGGCTTTCTGATGCGGAAGCAAGCCGAAGATCACCTGAGAAATCGTTACCAACATCTTTGTTTAAAGACCGTCAATAGTACTGGGCCAGAAGGGATAAGACCACACAGCGAGGTCACTGACAGGTGGCTATCTCATTAACTCAGCTCTCAACTAACATAAGAAAAAGAGGATCATGGGGGACCAACATGCACCGATTGGGGAAGTTTTCTATATAGATGGAGCAAGTAGCTACAAGTAGGACAGTGGGGCTTTAATATGGCTTCCACGTACAGGAAATTATATCTGAGCCAGTTCAAAGTTTTTTTCGAGGTTTTTATATTCCTGATAATGTCATGTGGTTGACATCCTTAGATAGAGCTGGAATTTGACTTATATGTTACGTTTTCTTCATTCTTTGTTTGTGTATTTAAACTTTTTTTAAAAAATAAAAAAAACAGCGATTGGCAATGCCACCTTTATTATCTTGTAGTCTTTTGACCTTAAAGATTTGTGGGGCGTAGTGGGTGGATAATTAATCAAATGAAGCATTCACTTATGGATATCGTGGGCTGTGGCCGTGCTGGTTTTTACCAATATCTTCGTTCAACTTTGATTAATAAACCGCACCCCGATTACTCAATCTTTTTATCTTAAAAATAGTCGGGTTATATTTAAAAAAAACGGACTGAATTGTACCCACTCAATAATTATCTTCTGTAGTAATATTTCGGCTCGACATTATTAAAAACAACCGATCTATCAAATGCAAACCGACATTTTCCCCCATAGACAGAAGACACATTTACTGGGGTTTAAAGTTAACACTTGGCGCCTCATAAATCATGGGACTTACTGCATGGACGGGATGTTTGAGTGAATTATAAATAGTACACTGTTTTAATGAACTTAATGAACTTACATTTTCGTTTGGATGTGGGGGCCTTCCACTTGACGGCTCCTTCTTAGTCCTCTGTATAAAGAACAAAGAAGTGATGAACGTAAAGAAACGATGATTCATGCCCTGTGCACCCTATGCGTCATTTTGATTGCGTCATTGCCTGCGCTAATAAAGCATGCGAAGGCATTAAACCTGTACGTCAGCAATATTGCAAACACTGCACGCTTTGCTTTTTGCATTCACTTTTATATAGACGATGTTATCTTCACCTGTGCGTCAATAAGCGCAAAAGTTATTGAGGCAAGCCTCCATCAATCAAATGACGCCTCCTGTGTGACGGGAGTTATGTATACACAAGTATTACTCTTGTGTATGCGACTTCAAAGCAGTTCTTCTTCTTTTTTCCCCCTTTCCCCTTTCGTCGTTATTTTCAGATTTTGCTTGTCCAGTTAAATACAATCTATACATAATACACGATTCAGAATTAATTCAAGTCACATCATTCAAATGCTATTCCATTAGCAAAGTTAATCAGCTTCAACTTAACGACTCTCAACAACAACAACAACAACATGGTTCCTTTAGGGCTCGTATTCTATTCCTTATAGTGTTGTCAATGCAAATTATCAGACAATTTGTTTAAGTGATCATAAGTTTAAGTGGTAATTGTGTTATACAGAGTCGCCAATTAGCTGGAACAGTGAGACTGATATCCTTTCTCATGAGAACTGATGGCTTTAACCTTTGGAATTTGTTCATTCGGCATTTTAGCTACTATGTTAAACAACCACTCTTTTTGTGACTGATGTGTACCTTCTTTTATAAAGATGTAATATATTTAGCCCTTTACCCGTACGTTAATGGGTTGATCTCCCCAGGGAACGGGGATACGCGTTCGCACCAGATTTGGAAAGGGGAGGGGGCGGAGGGGGGCGACAATGTATATAATTTTCCGCACGGTTTGTTGTTGTTGCCTTTTACTTCCTCCCTCTTCCTACAAAAAAACAAAAACACTAAAAACAATCATAACAGGGATTTTTTTAAAGTAAAAAGGCACCAACAAAATTTGATGACCCTTTTTGCTTTTGTTAATTATCAGAGAACGTGTTTATAATATTTATTTGTTTATTTAGGGAATTATTTATATATCTATCAATTCATTCATTTACCGATTTATTAATTAATTCGTTCGTTCGTTTGTTCGTTCACTCATTCATTCATTCATTCATATTAAGCCTCGGTCACAAATGCCATTACGAACTGCTACGAACGCCGTAAAAACGATTTTCAGACAATGGAAATTCGGGAAGACAATGGAAAAACAGTGAGATTCGTACGAAATTATCGTTCGTACGAACCTTTGTGACCGTAGCATTAGCTTAGTTGTCACAGAAATCTGTTGTACAGTCATTTTCACCCCCCCCCCAACATTTCCGCCCATGCAAAGCACGTTAGCAATCTTCTATGGGTTGGCCTACCACTCTGTGCCTCCGAAGGGAGCCCCAGGTTCCCCGCCTGGGCTGGTGCTTCTTGTGTTCGTCGGGGTCAGGGATCAAGCCTCGGATCATGAGATCCCGCTCCCGTCGGATCTCGTTCTGAGCTAGCTCCCGCTCCCGCTCGATTAGCTTCTCCTGCAGGAGCAAGATGGATCAAGAGATCATGGATGGAGGAAGAGAACAAAGTAAGAGGGTGATTGATACGAATGAAGGTGACGTGGCAGAAAGTTATGATTATGACAGCGAAAGAGCAAGAGAGAGGGAGAGAGAGAGAGAGAGAGAGAGGGGGGGGGGAGAAAGATTCAGAAGATATAGAGAAAATGAAAGGAGAGAGGCAAAGAGAGAGTTGAGAAGAAAAGAGATGATTGGTGAACGAAGAAAGAAAGAGAGAGACAGTCAATTGGAATGAGAGAGTTGTGAAATGAGGGGCAGACAGATTAGGGAGTAGTGGGTTACATGCAGGAGGAGGGAAAAAGAGAGAGATGGGCATTGAGAGTCAAGAAGAGAAAGATAGAGAAAGAGAGAGAGAGAGAGAGAGAGAGAGAGAGAGAGAGAGAGAAGAAATGATACTCTGATTTCATTAATCCATACACGCTTTACCGAACAACATTTTTTTTAAATGGCATAATTATGTCAAAGTCCATTTGTGCCATATTTTGGTAACACAGTAAAGACATCACATAATCTCATGCGGTCATGACGCTAGGGAAATGTAAGCTTTAAAAGATAATTAGGCAAAATTTCCCTTGTGTGATTATGTACATGCATGTGCATTTAAATAAGCAGTAACTAAAATAAATAGGCTCGTTGCTCTTTTTAAAAGTTGAAACATAAGAAATAAATGTTCATAACAATATTATTGCGATTTTTTTGTAAATCTTTGTATGTACAGGGCTCTTTTGTAAAGCAGGCCTCTGGCACTGAAAAGACTACCCTGTTTTTTAAATAAAACTGAATAAATAAATAAATAAATAAATAACACATTTAAGTACAAAATACGCTCCTTTACCCTCACCATCGATATTAATTATCACCACTATCCTTTAGTTTATGACGATGACATTAATCTTGCCCTTGTTGTTAAACAAAAGTACATGAAAATAATCTCAACATTCGGTTTTAAAGTTTATATTTCCTTCAGGTCCTGTTCTGTCATGTTCCCGTGTGCTACTAACGTATTCAACTATGTTTACTGTTTTATCCAAATCTGGCGCAAATGGATTTTGACATGACAATTTAAAATGTTATTTTGGTAAAGCGCGTATGGATTAATGTGATCAATCATTTTGAAAGCATATTACTTCTACTTCATGGAAAGAAATGAGTCATATTTGTACAGCTCATAGTTTGTTAACAATATCCCTTTATTTGGGGGTTTCGTCTTTTGTTTCACATCAAAATAGAAAGTAGATATTAATTTACCTCATAGTAGGTTACAATATCAGTTAATTTTCGGGTTTCGTTTTTGTTTCTTTCTGGGACGTATTGAGAAATGGGGTAATATATCAAAATAGATAGTAGTAATTCATCGGGGGAAATTTAAAAAAATGTACGTAGGCGTATCTCGCGAATGTCTGGATTCGTGCATCGAAAGAAAGTTAAATCTTCTGCTACAACCTCTTTTTGTTTTTAATGGTAATATCGAGAATATGATTTTGAGATGGATTTGTGTCTTTCAATTTAATGAATGCCTTTTATGCAAACAGTACGTTTTGCAAAGCAAGGGGTTTATTTAGGGTAATGACAATGAATACAAATAAGATATCACAAAGCATAAATATGTATAGGATGAGAAGTCATTATAAAAGATTTCGTACGGCCTTCAGATGACAAAGAAGCCCGCCATACCCTAAGGCCTGAGCATTATCTTGATTAGATGGGGGGACGGGTATTTCCGATCACTATTCCTTATATTTAAAAGGAAAACATATATATTTTGTTTCCGGTTAATTATTCTCCATTTACTCCTCCTCCTCCTCCCTATATAGAACCTTCGTTTCATTACGCCTTGTCTTATTCATTATCAAAACGTATTTCTTCCTATTGTTGTTGCTGTTGATGTTGTTGTTGTTGTTGTTATTATCATTGACATGTAAAATCTAGTGTCTGATTTTGCCAACAGTTTTGTTTTGTCATGTTTTTATTCATGTTGTATTTTTTTTATTAGCGCTTTGATATGAATTCATCTTTGGGAACTACTGCGTCTTGGGCAAATGATTACAAGTGGCCTTGGTTCATTCTACAAATCGCATTTTCATGGCAAACTAATATTGCGTTATTAACCCCCTAATATCAAAACAGAAAAACAGTAAGAAGAAGAAGAAGGAGGAGAAGAGGAAGAAGGAGAAGAGGAGGAGTATAACAAATTTGGATCCATCTTGGGAAGAAGAAAACATTTTACATTCACCGTTTTTTTTTTTTTGGGGGGGGGGGGAGGGATAAGGAGCGCATAATATGCAATCTTGTCAAGATGTCAGCATAGTCAACAAAAGCATTATCACTTTGATAAGAGAGGATTAATGAAAACCAGGACAATAAAAAAAATATAGGCTATCTGGTTTCCAACTGAATTGTTTGTGTAAAATGAAGTAATGTAAAATAAATAATTTAAAACAAATTTTGTGCTTGTTTGTTTGTCTCTTTCTTTCTTTCTTTGTTATAAAGTTAACAATACCTCATATTCCTGTAGTACTTTCTCCGCCAGTGCGTCCATGTAGCGGGCGCTAGTGAGGTCTACCGTCTCGCCGCCCATTAGTCTCCACAGCCTCCTCCTGCAGCGGACGTTGTCTGGTACGAAATATACCGTAGCACGATCCGAAGAATTCTGCATGGAGAACAACGAAATATCCTTAAAGGTATAGACCATTTTTTTTTTTTTTTTTTTTTTGGGGGGGGGGGGGTGTTTCACAAAGATACTAAGTTGGACTTAACAATGATGGAAAGCCATTAGCATCCTTGAAAATATTTTGTAAAAGTTATTTTAAACGGCATAAAATGTTGATTCGAATCATTCATATTTTCTATTATCATGGGAGATTTCATGTTCTTGATGTGGAATTTATGAAAAGTCTAAAATACTTGAATTTTTGCTTTTGAATATATTTCATTATAAGGCTACAAATGGCTCTCCATAATATTTAAGTCCAACTTGGAGTTAAGTTAGACTTAAAATCTTTGTGAAAAACCCACCTGGTCATGCGATTGCATTGTGAAAGAAACGTTGTGGAATCGATCGGAAAAGGTTGATCATCTAGCATATAAGTATTGGTGTGTACTGCAAGGTTGTGGAATCATCAAAATGATACAAATTTTGGCCCATTCTTGGTCTATACCTTTAAGATTTCACATTTACATGTACCCCTGCATGATTCGGCGGTTTACTGGGATCAAGAGAGATGATCATGAATTGAATTTCACATCTATTTTCTGATGTTGATTTGGTGAAATGTTAGTACATAATAATAATAATAATAATAATAATAATAATAATAATAATAATAATAATAATAATAATAATAATAATAATAATAATAATAATAATAATAATAATAATAATTACATTTATAGGGCGCTTTATACAGACGTTTCTAAGCGCACAGGTGGTACTGTCTAACTTGAATTATTCAACATGTTCAATACCTTAAAAGCAACAAAATAACATGAACTATTACTATACAATGCAATACAATACAATTGAGTTGAATGAAATATACTTGTGTGCGCCTCCGGTAAACTATAAATGATTAAAAAGGTGGGTTTTGAATGATTCAATGGATGGGGCATTTTGAATATGGGTGGGAGTTTGTTCCAGATGGCGGGGGCAATCGATGAAAAGATAATCTGGAGGATCCTAGATAACGATAGAAAATGTTAAAAATGGAAATTTGATTCTTATATATTTCCCCGATTTCCTTCTGACGACAAATGTCAAAAATGTTGATACAAAATAGGTCTTGCATTCTCCACAACCTTATACAAAGTCCTGGATAAAAACGATGGAAAAGATTAAGAGTTGAAACGGAAACAACACCTATTTCCCAAGTTCTGATGATATCATTAATAATAATGTTGCATGAGGTAGTGAGCTCCGTGTAGCTAGCGGCACACAACAGCCTCCTCTGCATTGGATGTTATCTGGTATACAAAATACCCCACAGCGCGATGCAAAGATTCCTGAAGTATAGAAAATATGAAGAATCGGAATTCACATAATACATACATGATACTTTTTATGATAAAAATTATAGTAGGAAATAGTTTGGTACGAAATACACCCGTCCTCCTTCCCGCCCCCATCAATCTATACATCTATCTCCTACAATCGATATTATCTGGTACGAAACATACAACAGCACGATTTTAAGAAACCTGAAAAGAAATTTTAAAAAGTGAGCTTTGACATTCACAATTATTCTTTGTTTTTCAGATGATAATTTTGGAGTAAAATTGTTGGTGCTAAAAGCAACGTGAGACTCTTCCCCCGAGTCACTCGTGCCTCTCCAAATTTGTGCTTTTATATGACTTTTGTCATTAGCACAATTTTCCCTACTGTCTAAATGTCTGCATGCTGTAAAATCTGCAGTGTGTAAAAATCACACCATCCTTTTCATTTAGAGAAGAAAAAAAATGATCACACCTTGACAAAAAGGAAGTCACCATCTTTATGTTGGCCTGTTTGTTTGTTTGCTTGTGTATTTATTTATTTGTTTGTAATTTATCCTATGAAAAGCATCTAATTGATCTGACATATCCAGAATAAGATGAGTTTCTTGACTGGCGATTATTAGCATTCATCTCAACAACTGACAAGCAATCTCAAGATAAGCCTTACAATTAACATGTATAATATTCAATTTCTATTTCTCTAAAGTAAATGATTAAGCAAAGTAGCAAACCAATTTCCTTCCATAGATAAAACTATTTTACAGATTATTGATTTAATCCATTGTCCTCGTAAAACCTACTAAAGACTCGAGCTTTTGAATTTCTTCCGACGATTGAATCCTTAATCATTGCAAAGATTAAGGTAATCTCCTCATAAACTCCTTTATTGGTAAGTAATATAATAGTATATAGTTTGAATAATCATATGATTCATATTTCAGTTCCTAATCAAAAGCTATTAGTATATTAAAGTAAGGTTGTATATTGAAAGTCCAACGACTATGTGATCCGACTGCGAATGCGACAATATAAAGGAATCTTCTTACCCCCAGCAACCCCCATCCCCACCACCTTCCTCAGCCCCCCCCCCCCCCCCACAAAAAAAAAAAAAAAAATGCAACGGGTGCTTGTGGCTCTTTCCCATTTCGTAAATACACAAAGAATACAAAATGAAACGAGAAAATTACGTTTTTTTTTAAACTTTACCTCACCTATTCCATTACACGAATTGGGCATTGCAAATTTAATTTTCAACTATAAAATGTATAAACTTTTCCAACCCATATAAGTTTTATTTTCATTGTAAAATGTTGATCAGTTGACCTACCTTTACGACCATCAATACGAGTACAGTGTAGGTTAAAGATACTATGTCCCTTTTGCAGCCAACGTCAAATTTTGTAGAAATTTACAGGAATTATGAATATGTTATGTATGTCCTATCTGTGAAATGTAAACGTTAGCAGTATCCTAATATTCAAATTATGCAAGGAAACATGTTTACTTGCTAGCCTTCACTTTCAGCCACTATTGAGTGAGTGACTGGCCTTTTTTCATCTTTGGTAATAACATAAATAAAATGAGCTGTAAAGGGTACATGAGCAGTTGTCTACATCAATAGCCCACTTTTTGTAATGACCAAAATTAACCTGATTGACTCTTTGCGCAGCATAAAACGTACGACCTTTCGGTGCAATGATCTGAAAAATCAGACTAGTACTTACTGGCTCTATAGCTCCTAAGTCGATTCGACAACTAATTCTAAATTAGTATTGTCTTTCAAATGCCGTTGAAATTTAACCTTTTCATTTTTTGGGCCTGAAAATGGAACATGGTACCTTTAAAGGGTACATCAACAAATTTGAAAGGGATATACTGTATATTACAAACTTAAACTTGGAATTGAAAACTTAAGTCTTACCTCTTTTGTGTGTAAGCCATGGCGTCCTCCTGGTACGGATCCCATTTTGAAAATGAATTCTCTAAGGAGAGATCTCTATTTTCCTACGACGCGTTTGTCTATACAGCTAATACTTGTACTCACATCTCCACGGGCTATAATTATATTACAACATCCTTGAATGAAGTTTATTCTTCTCGAAACTCGAGCCAACTTAAAACAGAGGGGTCACTCACAAAGGTGTTATAACGTCACAGGACTCGTTAAGTGTTAAACAAAGGACACTTATCTATGGGCGGGAGGAGGGGGGGGGGGGGGGGGGCGGAGAGGCGTTGTTCTTAACCCGAGCGCGCAAGGCCATAGTAATTGAGTACAAGTAGAGATATGGTTACATGAATCGCCAACAGAATATTTTGTCATTTTAGGCAGATGCACACATCATACCCCCCCCCCCTCCTCATTATATGCGACGTTAATGCCAATGCCTAGTGAGAAGAAGAACCCACAGAGTTTTTTTCCTTTCATCTGAATAATATCATATGAATATACATGAAAAGTTTTGTAACATACATCTGAATTGGTCTTATTGACATGCTCCTCAATAGGGACTTTTAGATTAATTTGCGTGGACTGATGCGTGTGACGTTCATTGAAGGCAGTGCATTAAAAGGACGTCGACCGTAGCAATCCACGTTGTCGTTGTGCAAATCTAAAAGTCCATATTATCTATTATTCAACGCGATGTTAGAATGCTGTAGCCAATTTGGTTCGTTTATGTTCTTCTTTCATCCGTCATGCACCTCCGAATACTACGATCGACTAAAAAGGCGTAAAAGTGGGTCATACTACAATTATTATACTGAAAGTACATCTTAACTGTAAATCTAAGCATATGAAATAATAATAATGTATTATTATTATTGTTATTATTAATATTATTACACTACTAAAAAGCATTTTGAATTACATGGACAGCCACTAGTGTCTTGACCTCATGAATAACCAAATTCATTACCATGGTTACACTGAAAATAACATTGGACGGTCAAGCACGAACTAGTGACCATGTTCGTTGTTCAACCGACCGTGTTCATGGTGTTTGTGATACCTCAGGCGTACCAGTGAGGTCCATGGTTATATGAGTGAGAATGATCCGCACTTCTCGAGCGCAAACTTCGTCTCGGTCAGTCCTATATAGAATTACACCATACATACTGCGCTCATGAAAAATGAGGTACGCCACCAATGGGGGTTTGGGGGGGGGGGTAGGGGCTGCTCAACCCTTCCCCCTAAGAACTTGAAATTAATCCAATGTATGGGTTTCTGTAGCGCTTCATACATAGACGTGTTTATAAGCGCTTTACAGATAATTATCACCAACATGATCATTGGACTCGTGTTTGTCGTACCCAATTATGCACATTCTCCACTCCCTAGTTTTGAAATCAAAGTCGATCATCAAAAGGCCCTTCTCTATTTGTAGCCAAAAGATAGTCAGAGATATAACGAGGATACTAGTATAACACATATAACAAAGGAGATAGATACTGAATTATAGATGAAGCTTAAAAGATATGGGCAATTTCATGAATAAATAGTTTAGTAACAAAAAATACAAAGTATGTAAAGAGTCTATATTCGGATGATGTATCGAATAATTAAACCCTGATCTTGTTTTATGCTTAATCAGAGAAGAATCATCGAACCCACTATCCACGGTACGTTATGTTTCTTTCCCTTTCTGACTACCTAAAAGTCTAAAAACTAAATTACAAATTGATCTATTTAAGACGCTCGTTGCTAATAATAGGTATATATAACACAAAATGATTGATGATCAGAATACCTTCTTTCTTTTACGTTTTCGTCCCATGCATAGCTTTGAAATGATTGGAAGGTCGGTTGTTTTTCTCTCGCTGAATATTGAACTGTCCGATAAATCTAGTAGATCCTCAAAATGAAGTACCCGTATTATTTTATATATTGCTTTTAACAGAGTGGTGTATGTAGAAGATGGTCTTTCATGCTTTGTCGATCTGTACAATACTTTCTGTATACTGGCATATGCAAGCAGGCTTTGTGCACATGCGCAGATACCATAGAAACGCGCTGCACCGTTAAGCGCGTTGCTATTATGACGTGACAAACAGCAGTGATTACATTTTCATTGATAATGCGCGTACAGCTCAGGAAAAGGGCGGACATCGGACTGCTTCTGTCATTTACGCCCCCCCCCCCTCCCCCACCTTGACTCTCTGTCTCTGTGTCTGTCTGTGTCTGTCCGTCTCTCTCTCTCTCTCTCTCTCTTACTCTCTTTCTCTCTCTCCCTCCCCCTCTCTCTCTCTTCTATTCTCTCTCTCTCCCCCTCTCTTTCTCTCCCTTTTTCTCTTCCCTCTCCTGACCCGCCCATCCATCATTATTGTTAGTTCGGAGACAATTTCTTCATCTTGCAGTGAGGTATTCCTAATTAAGGGAATTAGCCTTAACTCAATGATAACGGTACTCTAAAGATAAATAGATATCCGATATATCCAAAGGGAATCTGTCCGTTAAACCCATTACAAATTGCATTTCAGTGCATTGACGTTTCTGAGATTATTAATCTGATTTATTATTTTGTATGATTATTTGTTTCTTTATCTAATCCTGTTTTCAATCTTTCTTTCTTCCACCGATTCTTTCTGTTCATATGTTTAATTGTATTACTTAGGTAGCTGCAGGATAAGAAGCGCAACAATTATTCAATCATACAAGGAAATGTTACTCGTGCACATCATTTATTCATTTAATATACGCTAGATTTGCTACAAACGATCTGACACAAAACATTTTACTATCAGTTTCACAAAAGTCACTAATTATTTACAATAAAAGAAATAGAAAAACAATATTAGCACGACCGCAAAGAATTCCAAACAATCAACGGCAATTTCACTTTTGTATTTCCTATATATTATTATTTTTGGATTATTGTGATATTTCCTTGTCATATTGACACACTTCAATAGGTGATGCACATGGCTTTTAAAATCGCCCTAGGTTGGTTTTTTTTAAAGATACTTCTCCGATTGTTTTCATTGTTTGTTTTTTCCACTTGGGCAGCTGCAGGTAAAATGATTAACAATGACATCTTATAAGAAAAATGTAAAAGTCATACTAGTCATTAATAATTAATTATATATATTACTACATATACAAACAATTCACAAAAGAGTACGGTATCAAAAAGGCCATCCGATATTTAGAAAAAGAGAGAAAAAAATATTGACACGATTAAATCAAAGTGAAATGCACTTTTAGTATCAAAGTATTTAGCTCGTAGATTTTTTGTCTTCATATTATAAATAAAGTAATGTAATGTTCGCATAGTTCAAGGCGAAACCACTGACTATTGATTTCTTGGAGACCTTTGCCATCGTACTACTTGAGTTCGTTTACAGAAAACATCAATTTATTCACAGATAATATGGGTACTTTATAGCCAGTCCAATTTTAAATCGACATGATAGTTATGGATCCTCCATATTTCAATAACTTTCTTAAATCTGACTCAAGATTGAAAACACTAATTGGGTTCATTTAGTATGCTAAGCTACCACTTAGAATGTCAGATCAAGAAAATCAATTAAATGAAGAATACCCTGTTTTCATTGACATTTTTGGTAATTTCGACGAAAGTCAGTTAATCCAAGTAAAGAGCAAACTGAAGTTGATTAATTTGGTTTTGAATAGTCTGTACCGCAGATGATTCCATGCAAACTAGGTCTTCAACATAATCCATGGTCATTAATTTTTCTCTAGAGGAAAGGCTTCTATTTATATTTTTTCATTATGTTAGGGATGAAAGAAACAATTTGCTTCATTGGAATACATTTTAGCTCGACATTCATTTATTATTTACAGTTTATTCTTAGCAAAGCTCTGCACATGTATTTATGATACATATTTTTTTTGCTTTACAAGACATATTGAATAATTCATTTGTGTGATTAAATACGTCTAGATTGTTCCACTCAAAAGTGACTTTTCTGGCAATGGATTATTTTGGGCTTCAGTTATCCAAAGCTTGTAATTTGGATTGAAATACCTCCCTCTACCGACACATTGGTAGTATTTTCTTCAAATCTTTCTAAAAAAAAGATGTTGTATTGCCCTTTGCGACCGACCCAAAAAATCTTGAAATCTACGGTCGACTTTTTTTTAAACCGTTTTTTTTGGAGAGAAAACAAATAATTAAAGCATTAAGTTAAACAAATAAGGACTTCCGACCGACCGATCCATGTTTTGGCACCTAAAGGGCAATACAACATATTTTTTTAGGCCCTTTATTCCCACATTGGTTTTATCCGCTGTCAGATCCCACCATTTTGTCCATCAAGAGCAACTCTTCCAGTAGTCGCTGACGTTCAGTTGATTTCTATCAAAAAATGATGTAACATTACATTGAAACAGTTTCAATATTTGTATGAATAGAAAGATTAACAGGCGTTTCTTAGTTGCGATATACATTGTCATCATATAGAAATAACTGAATTTCGATTCTGAATCCAATTTCTTCATTTTTAATCAAACTAAAGTACCATTCAAATTATTTACGGTGTTCGATTTCTCAATCACGCTCCCTCGCTCTTTCCATAGTATTATTATATGTAGATCTTAAAATCCGATTCTTGATTATCTCTCTTTTTGATTGATCAGAGAAAGAGATCTACTGACATATCAATAACTTACTGAAGTCATTTTCTGTATACTTGTTTGTTGTTGGTGGGGGGGGGGGGGGCATTTATATCGTCAGCTTTTCGCCGTTCTGTTTTCTTTCATTCGTCTTCAAATTAGCGTGTTCTATTTACGTTTTTTTTTTTTTTTTTTTTTTTCTTGACTAAATCATTTTTAATGTCATTTCAGTTTAATTATTAAAATACAAGGGCAATGAAGGATAATGTATTGAGGGTCTTGATTATTTTACAAGAAAACCTTTTCCCTCCTATCAAGAAGATTGTTCCGCGCCTAGAAACAAAGTTTTACTTTATTTATAACCGTATTGTATAATTTGTAAACATGAACAGTTTTGGTCCTTGGACCTTTGAATCATGTATACTTATATGTCTTTTTAAACCGAAATAAATAAATAAATAAATAAATATTAGGCGCATTATAAATGTGAGCTATTATTATTATTATTATTATTTCGTTCAATAACTGTACCTCTTGCAGCTCTCGTTGAAGGCGGACACGCAACCCTTCTTTGTCTTGAAAGAGGTACTTGTCTGTGTTCATCACATCGCTCGAACCCCCTTGGTTCTGGGATGAACTTCCGGAATGTTCATAGATTGACAAGAGCTGTAGAGAAAGAGAGAGAAAGAGAGAGAGAGGGGGGGGGGGGGGAGAGCGAGAGAGAAAGAGATAGATAGAGAGGGAGAGAGAGAGAGAGAGAGAGAGATAGAGCAGGAGAAGGATGAGAATTACGGGCCCGAATTCACAAAAGAGGTTTGTCGACAAACCTCCTTTTGTTTCGACAAACCTCCTTTTGTTATTTACAAACCAGGTTTGTAAAAAACGCGTAAAAACGCGCTATATGACGTACATAAACTTCGGTTTGTCGACAAACCTCCTTTGTTAATTCGGGCTAAAATGTGTATTTTATCGACATCGCGACCACTGCTGTAATGATTGTATTTTCCATTTAATACGCCATAAATCGGTAAAAGAGTACACCGGCGGAGCCATATCCAGTCCCTGTACCCAAGCATCATCATGCGCGCGTCATCAGTTTGGGGTGCATTATGGGACATGGCTGTCGACACATTGTGAGCAGCAGATGGCAGTATACGTAAATCTGAAGAAGTGTTTATAGTAGAGTACCCTGTGCTCAAAGAAAATGATGTACAATACCATATACGATAGTATTGTCTTAATAATGACAAGAATCATGGCCATTCGTGATATTGTATTTGTTTCTGTCTAGATTGTCAGTATATAATACTGTCGGTTTAGTGTCGGTCTCGATAGTGGGTCTGTGATACAAGGGGGGGGGGGATGGCGGGCAAGATGTACATAAGTCAAAGGCAGAGCAACAAATACATTAATGCGTGACAGGGACTTTGAGAGAGAGAGAGAGAGAGAGAGAGAGAGAGAGGGGGGAGAAAGAGAGAGGGAGAAAGAGAGAGAGAAAGAGAGAGAGAGAGAGAGAGCGAGAGAGAGAGAGAGAGAGAGAGAGATGAAGTTGAGATGAGAGATGGGGGAGCATAAATATCTAGATACAGTTATGGAGATAAATGTGATATAATGGAGCAACAAAAATGAGACAGAGATGTAGTGAGAAAGAGATAGAGAGGGGGAGAGACAGACAGAGAAAGAAAGAAGGAGAAAAAGACAGACAATTGAAAGATGGAAAGAAATTTAGAGTGATGGAGGGACAGAGGAGAGAGAGAAAACAAGAGAGAAAAAGAGGCCGTGAGAAAACGCGACATAAAACGGACATCGAACTTAATTGGCGAACACGGAATGCCGTGATCGGGCCCCTGGTCGTACCTTTGGCACGAAAACGAGACAGAGCACGACCGTGGTGGCGATGATGACGGCTCCTGCTACGAACGAGAAGACGAAGTTGATGTCGCCTCTGCTGTAGAAGATATAAGCGAATGGTACGGTGATGACACAAGTCAGACATACCGTGTAGACGGATAGAGCGATGTATTTACCTGCAGAGGTTTTTTGGAAGAAAAAAGTAATAAGATCGAGACAAAAATTGCATTTTTAAATTTGGCATCAAAATATAAACAGGACCTCACCGATCATCAAAATCTGTAAAAAAAAAGACTGTAACTTGTCGGACAATTCTTTTGATCGTAATCAATCAAATGCAATGTCGACTTTATATACAATTTAGGAGTTCAAGAGCGGTATGCATTAATTTTGCGTAGAACCCCTCCCCCCCCCCCCCCCACGAAACACAATTTGGTTTCAAACTATGACCATTTTTAATAGACCTTTTAAAAGAAGATTGCAAATGGTTTCCATGAATACTTTTATATTATCTATTTTGATTTTACTTACATGTTGTCGAAACTGTTTCTTTTTCCCTACGGACTTTGTTTCATTTTCTGCGACTGGCACAAAAGCTCAAACTGTCTGCTAATATCGATACATTGCCTATTGTACAAAAACCTGTAGGCCTATTATTAAAGGCCCACTGCACTACTGGTGGTTATTTGCGCCCTCTATATAACAAACAATGCCTAATCGGTGACCATTGGTCCCCCATGATCCTCTTTTTCTTATGTTAAGTGAGAGCTGAGTTGATGAGATAGCCACCTGTCCAATGACCTTGTAGAGCGGTTTAATCCCTCCTGTAAACTACGGCAGATAAGCTTTAAGTGTTTAACCACAGTAAATCGATATAAATTAAAACGAATGGTTCAAATCAAATCAAAGTTCGGCTTACTGTCATTCAGCTGTGATATGCGCACGTTTCTTGTCGACCATGCCAGAAAGACTCCAAACAGAAGCAAGGCTCCTTTATACACCAACAGGGTGATCAAGAACGGGACAACGTGTTTAGACGAGCACGCCCTCAGCGTCGGAACAAACCAAATCTCAAGCGCTGGCACCTCAAGATCCAACTGTAAAAATATTATAGCATCGCAGTTTAATGCATGTGATTCCAAAAGCATTTCACTCAGATGTCCTTTATTATTGAATAAGGACTGTTCACCACAAAGCGATTCTCACAGTACTGCCCTCCGATGCACGAGCCACATATGTAAATTATATGACATAAATATACATGTCATTAATTCGAAGCTTTGCTAATCTGTTGCACGTAAACAGTCGTCGTTGTCTTAATATGCAAATTTATGGAAAGTGGGAGCAGTGTGGACTTTTGTTTTGACCCGCCGACATCTTTCCCGTGGCTGAACGGAAGCGGAAACAGACTTGAGCCCCCCCCCCCCTCCACTCAGTTTCCCACACTCAATTCTGAGACAACTATCCCTTGGACTTGCCCGACCTTCAAAAAGATCCTCCCCCCCCCCCCATGAATAGTACCCTTCACATGGGCAAATAATCTCGAAATTTCAAACAATGTTCATCATTGTTGGTAGTAAAGTAGCATTTTATTCCCTTGCACTAATCCCGTATGCATCGGGAGTTTTATTTTCTTAAATTATATGTTGGTAGACCTAAGGATAACCAAGGTACATAAAAGGAGAACTATGAATGTTACTAACATAGACCTACATATAAATCATGATGTTACCAAGGAAAGGATGCACAAACTGTCGTCATTACCGTACACGTTACCAAGTGATCATGAAAGTCAACTGCAATACTCACGGTCGGTGCGAATGTCCTTGATCGTAAAACCATGGGGTCGAAGGTCATCCAGAAGATGAAGAAAGCGAGATCGATGATCACGAAGATGGAGAGCGTGAAGAGAAGTCGACCATCGCCGAGACCACCCTTTTTAGAAATCGAAAGGAATGGTGAGTATTGGTCACGAGAAGAAGAATGATAGTGTTACACTCCCATTATTTTATGGAAAAAATATATTTCTGCAAAATTGAAACTGTGAGTTTACATGTGGTTTTGTTTCCCTTTTTGGCAGCAACTATTCGGCAAAATGTGTTTTGATCTTTGAAATGTTGAATTCCACAGTCATTATAACTTTTGATGTATAGTAAGCCTATGTTTAATATAATGACTATAATAACTATTAATTAAAACCAAAAAAAACAGCGGTGGTAATGCCCGAAGCGAAGTTTGTGTCAGGACCCCCCCCCCCCTCCCACTCCATTCTGAACATTTTCTATCGACGTCCCTATCGTAAATGGTGAAAGAGAAGGAGAAGATCAAGAGAAAGAGGATATAGAGTAGGAGAGGGAGAGATAGAAGAGAAGGAGGGATGGTGCATACTCACCCTTACAGCCCGTGCTTTCATAGCGCTGGTATAAATCTGATGAATGCGATAGGTCTTCACGAATAGGGCGCCAAAGGATAGAGAAAGTCCAATGCAGCCGACGATCAAAGTCCCCTGAAAAAAAATGAAATAATGTAATCTAATATTTTTGTTTTCAGGCTTTCGATATCCAAAAAAATTGGAACAGACATTTTGTTTTGTTTTGTTTTCATTCTCTTTTTCGTCTGTAAACTAGTAGGTTTTCAGACGCGACACACTGAAAGACATTATTACTTACAAAATAACAATCGCCGCCTATTTAGGCTCTCCAGTTGTACCAGCTATTAGCATATCGATACTTAGTTTATTTCATTTCATTTAACAGCTTTTATCTTTTTTTAAAGTTTCCTTTTTTCCGACCCACTTGTCAACGATAGCACATAGCTTCATTTAGACTTAAGTATTAAATTTTCCTAACAATTCCTCTCCACCAAAATGCATGAAAGACGAGTCAGTCTACGTTTATTTCAGTTTTTAAATGATATACATGATCATGATGTATGTCTATCTAATTTCTTAAAATTCGGTCTACCTCACCTGGCATTGGATGCTTATCATCACGTGACTGTATGACGTATGTATCTGTAGTGTTTCATTCAAGAGGAACGTTGACCCATAGAGCAGGATGCATCCTATAGCTATCACGTTGTTCAACACCGGGCTCGATATTTTCACCACACTAAATTACAGATATAAAATAATAATAATGGAACGAAAAGAAAAAAAAAGGTATTGAGCTGTCAACAGAGGGGTAAAGAAAAAAATGGACTGGAAATTTCTTTAGAAACCTACTTTGTTATCGTAGAATCTTCCGTTCATACGCTGTTATATGATTATATCCAACAGAAATAATTATTCACGACGCAAGATATGAAACTAAATGGGACCAATCGTCACCCTGTTTACCACGTCATCTTTTTGTTTCTTTTGCTTTCTTCATTTTATTGACATTTTCTTAATAACCATATAAAACAGGTCATGACTGCATGACAATTTTTTTTCGTTTTCATTATTCTGTGCAAGGTCGTTGCGAAATAAAGATATAAAGAGAGAGAAAGAGAATGAAAACAAAGAAAGTGAGAGAAAGAGAGAGAAAGAGAGAGAGAGAGAGAGAGAGAGAGAGAGAGAGAGAGAGAGAGAGAGAAGGGAGTGAGGGGGCGACACATCCGCCTTATCACTCACTTTTGTCGTCGGCGAATCTTTCATTACTGTCTGAAAAATAAAAAACCCTCTCATTTTTTTGTTTTCTTTTGGGGAGCTCTGTAGATATTCTTGTCTTGAACGTTTAATTATGAAAATGTACAAGCAATATGAATAAACGTTTTGAATTACCTATATAGGCCTCGGCTCCAGACAACAATATTCAGGTTCTTACCGTTCATTTCGGAAGTGAATATTTGCCGCCAAAAAGCTCAGTGCGAGGACGATACCAAGAGAGCCGGTTACGTAGATGACGCTCCGATTCACGTTACCGATCGCGACAGGCGTTGGTCTGTACGTTGGGCCGCTGACTGGGATGATAGTACCTGAGATGATAAAAGAGGAGTTTGTAGATAAGAAGTAGAGACAGAGGGAGAGACAGAGACATAGAGACAGACAGGTAGACAAAGAACAGAGAGAGGGGAACCACAAGATGAGAAAGGATGAGGGAAGAGAGAGAGAGAGAGGAGTCAAAGTGTGTGAGAGAGAGGGTAAAGAACGAAGAGGGGGAGTGATATGAGGAGAAGGGAAGGGGGAGAGGGGGATGAGAGGGAACGGGTAGAGTGTGGGGGCGGAGAGGGGGAAATGAGGAAGGAAAGAGAGGGGATAGGAAGAATGAGAAGAGTGTGGTTGTTGTGAAGGAGATGGAAGCGAGAATAGAGAGAGAGAGAGAGGCGAGAGGAAAGAGAGGCAAGAACAATTGTGTGGGATGGAAAGGTGGAATGACAGGTGCCAAAGAAAAGGGAGAGAGAGTAAAGAGAGAGTAAAGAGAGAGAGACAGATAGAGACAGACAGAGAGACAGAGAAAAGGAAGGAAGGTAGCAAGAGGAGGAGAGGGAAAAGAGTAAATAATAATAATAATAATAATAATAGCTCGTTCTTACATAGCGCTTTTCAGGACCGGAGGCCCTCACAAAGCGCTTTACAGATAGGGTCGTGGAGAATCTTCAAAGACTGTAAACAAATTTTTAGAGCATTAAATATCTTCTTGACGTTCGTGCAAGGTTGTTGAGTGTATTGTAAGATCGTCGTGAAATGGAAATACAAATATAAAATCAATATAATCATATTTTTAAAAAATCTAACCTACCTCCCCATTCGAACCTTCTCTTCCATCGAATGCTGTCTTCTATGCGATCAAAAACAAGGATTTGCTCTACGCTGTTATCTGAAAGGATTTTTTTTTAAAAGAGAAAATCATGACTGCTTTAACCATTTGAATGAAAATGATTATTTATCAACGCAGGGGGGGGGGGGGAATCTGACACGTGATTTATTTATTTTTTACATCAATTTAGAATACCTAGATTAAAATCAAATAGATTACAACAGTTTTCGGGAGGGATTTTACGTAGCAAAACATAACAGTTTTGGACTGTTTTGTCACTCTCAGATTTAGGGGAAAGGCGTCAGGCCCCAGACATTTAAAAAACTCGTTCTCCCACAAGATTTTGTCTCCTAAAACATTATTGAATTGTAACCATAAACATGCATATGCTTTCAATGCATTATTCATTAAATGTGAACTGCTTGTTGTTTCTTTTTTTCTTCAGAAATAAGTACCAATAATGCGATGACGTTCCTATATGAATTTCTCTTACAAAGGCATACAGTACATGAACGCAAAAGCTTATTGAATCTAAGAATCCTCTCTGGACTGTTCAAATACTTTAAAGTAAGGAGAAGCTCACTAGCTAGCAAACAAGATGTGTAGTTTTTTTCTTCAAAATATGTCAAAACTTACTTTGTAGTTGTTGAATAACGCCATTACTCTGTCGGCTCCCGTACGAGTCAAATGCCACGTGACCCTTTAGAGTTGGTTAAAGAGAAAAACATTAAACATCGCAGCGTTGTAATATGTTTATTAAAACACTTTAATGCTATACATCAACATGTGAAACCATAATTCGTCACTCTGTGTACCCAATAAAAATCGCACACCATACACTCTGACCTTATCTTAATTTGATGATAAATCATTGGCGAATTATTTGACGCATTAATCCGTTGCAAATGAGGCGTCATTTCAAGTGCGCTATTACCTGCGCTAATCGAGTCTGTGAAGGCACTAAATCCATGCGCCAGATATGAGAAGCGCTGTTAGAACTGTTCATTTACAGTCACTTTTTGTACGACGTGACTTTCGCATGGTGCGTCAGAAACCCATAAAAGTCGCTGACGGAGTCCTACGTCAAAAATGACGCTTCGTGTGTAACGCGCGTGAGTCAGTTTAAGCAGTTATGACATTTTCCTTTGACCACGTTGAAAACTTTCAACTGAACTTAATGGGCTTTAATTCTTGTTCTCCAAAAACTAAAGGTATAATCAGCAAATATCAGTGGTGAATTTAAAAATGAAGGCAGTTTTAAATCTTGCTACAATGAGAAACAACATTAGCTGAAAGCGGTTATGTATAACAAGACGATTTTGGTCCGGACAGGTTGTGTATCCGGACAGTTGATTTAAAACAGCAATTTGAAGACGTTTGCAAGCAATATTAAATAAATCTTATAAGACTGATGGCATGAGAATAAATGAGAAGAAAACGAAGGTGATGATGATAAGTAAGGCCAAGACAAAAGAAATAACCATCATGATAAATGGCAACAGACTAGTGCAAGTCAACCACTTCAAATATCTAGGCAGTGTGCTGACTGAGGATGGCAAGTCTGCCAAAGAGGTCAACTTGCGCTCAGCATTGGCAAGAGCTGCCTTCACTCAACGACAAGATATCCTGATGAGCCACAATATTGACCTGAGTTTGAGAAAGCGTCTTGTGAAGTCTCTAGTATGGAGTGTACTGTTATATGAAGCAGAGACGTGGACACTCGCCAGGAAGGACATTCAGCGATTGGAAGTGGTGCTGGCGTAAACTACTAGGTGTGTCTTGGAGGGATAGAGTTTCGAACGAAGAGGTGCTGCATCGAGTTCAAGAAAAGCGGGTGCTGCTTCAAACGATTAGAAAGAGACAGAAGAAATGGCTTGGACACATCATGCGGCATGATGATAGCTTGATGATCAGAGTCCTAGAAGGCCGTCTACATGGAAAGAAGTTGAGGGGAAGACCTCGTAAAGGCTTTCTTGATGATTTGATTGCGGAATGTGGAGCAACGGGGTATGAAATGCTGAAACGGATGGCTAAAGACCGAAGTACTTGGAGAGACACTTGAAGTAGCACTCTGATTGGGTCACTGAACCTGTCATAAACTGACAGATCACTATTGATGGTTGGACACTATTACAAAGGGAAATTTTCATGATGGTATATCCTAAAAATCCTAAGGCAAATGAGAAGTTTAATAAGTGTCCGGACACCCAACCCCCATCATTATAATAAACGTTGCATTCACTTACTGTTAGTCCCACAAACGATACTCTCTTTGCCTCTTCTAGGAAGATATCAGCCATGTCCTTCTCACTGTATGTGAAGTCGGCCAGAGTCTTGGGTGGGTTTGACGCAGCCAGCTGCTCTATTGACGCATTCAACGCAAGGGCAATGGTCATTATCTGAAGAAAGAAAGGAAAATGACGCATGCCATCATACCAACAGATAATTGTGAATTATGGCGTATGGCTTACGTCGATATGCAATGCCGCAAGGCTCTCCTACGGGGAGTTTGATTGGTTGTTTGAATTTATTTACCGAAGGCATATAAATAATAACATACATTATTACATGGAACAATACTTTCAGAAGGATCACCCTTCTCAGCTATGCTATTAAAGCACAGCTGTTCTCTCGAGTGGTCCTTATAAAATAATAACGTAAACAAGAAAATAACATATTACACATTAAGTCATTAGCATAATACTACAACATTATATACAGTGTATATTGTTCACTCTCTTAACATGCCCCAACCACCCTAAAGCAGCCCCAACACCCCCACCCACCCGATGAGTCTCAGTGTTAAATGCATTTGAATGAAGATGACACTTACTTCCGGCTGTGTCAGTATACAGTATCCTTCCATCAGTTATTCTTTTTTCATGTTGTACTTTAAAAATCACCTCCCAATTTGTAAAGCTGGCAAGGGAATGATTTAACCTTTAATTATTTTTTTGTTAAATATATTGTAAATTAGATCATCTTCGTGTCTATTCTCCTTGTCGTTTCCTGTGTCATCACGACAGAGAGACTGTCGTACTCGCCTGGTCGTAGCCGTATGAGTCGCAGGCTCTGTCGTACTCACCTGGTCGTAGTCGTACGAGTCGCATGCTATGTCGTACTCACCTGGTCGTAGCCGTACGAGTCGCAGGCTCCTCCTGTTAGCAACTGGCTCTGAAGATACTTGAAGAATAGAAGGCGCTCAGGATCGGGTTGCTGACAGCATAGGTTTGATTTGTGTTTAAAAAAAGGAAATTTTAAATTGAAATTCAATGCAATACTTATAGCAGCGTAATTGGAAGCTATATAATAATAATTAATAGTTACAGGCATTTCTATAGCGCCGTCTATGTAGAAATTCCATTCCGAGGCGCTTTAATAATATTACCCTGGCTTTAGCCATTACAACGCTCCAGCATTTCAAGGAATTAATTCCTGCCAGGTACCCATTTACAGCACCGGATCGAGTGTGGCAAATGAAGATTAATGCCTTGCCAAAGGACATTAGTGCCGTATCGGGGTTCAAACCACGACCTTTGAATTTCAAGTCAGGACTGTTTAAACCACTCACCTACGACTACGACAGCGGCGCTTCCGTATTTTAAGATTTGGATGTAAGTGTTGCTCTTTAATCATTATTATACACTATGATTGTGGTATTATAATTGTTTAAACTCATCGGAAAATGAAAGACAAAGTAAATACCTTAACCATGAAATATGAGTCGTATTGTTTCCCCCTCTCCATATAACTACATTTATTTGAAAATGATTATTTACATCAATGTTTTTTTCTTCTCTAGAATGATACTTTGGTTTAATTATTCGCGGGAGTGTAAACATTTATCCCAATATCAATTTTGTGTACATACTATCTCGCCTTTTTTTCTTCAATTTCACAGAATTTAACACATGAGAGGAAGCATTAGGTACATTTTCTAAGTTATAGACGTTCTGTATGTTGAAGAAATCTGTATTTTGGAGAAAAATCAACAAAATCAACCGATATTGATCCAGAACAGAGACAGAGAGAGGGAGAGAGAGTGAGAAAGAGAGAGAGAGAAAGAGAGAGAGGGAGGGGAGAGAGAGAAAGAGAGAGAGAGAGAGAGAGAGAGAGAGGGGGGGGGGGGCACATGTCTGACACTTCAAATCAAGGATGATCTTACGACTCCATTGAAGTTGATCTCGGATAGATCTTCTTGGATCTCGAAGCCGCGCAGGCTGAGGTAACCGTCGACGGCGTCGTCCACCTGGTCGACGGTGCAGAAGTCTGGGTCGCTCTGCAAGAAGAACTCGGTCTCAGCCTGCCACCAGCGAGCGTGGTACCATCCCATAAGCACCCACACGTACTTTGAACCATACAGTCCCTGCCTATATATCTGTGCACAATAATGAGATAATAAATTGGTGGTTGCACACATTAATAAATTAATAGATCAATTAATTATTGAATTAATTAATCAATAATTAATTAATTAATTGTATTTTTGTCATTTGATAACTGAACAATAATCACCTGGCAGAAGACTCGCGTTGCCATTCGTTGGTACGAAGACATGAATATGATCCGAGCGTCATGTCGCTGGCATAAAAAATGGGGGGGGGGGGGAGGAAGAAGAATATTACACATGTTTAATATATACATGTATGAGATATAATTATCCATGCATCAGACATCAAAATGACGGGCAAAGAGTGTCAGAATATACCACCAAATATTTTGTTAATAAATATTCACTGACATTTGTTATTTTCATTTCCAGCGTAAACCTTATGCTTTGCTTTCTCTCACAATTTGACAAGCATATTACCCTCCATGCAGAACCTAAAACAAACGAGGATAGCTTCTAGTTTAGGCTCTGTGATATTTCATTACTACTTGAAAATTAGTCCTATAGAGCTGTAAACAAATACAGTTTATTTCTTATTTGTACAAACTAATTTCTTCCCGTTATTTTTCGTTTTATGAATACCTGTAATGCTGTAAAATGTGAGGTATGAAACGATTAACAGAAAATGAACATGTTAATCCCGCAAGGCCAAACTTTAGTACATGTACCTGAACAATATTCAACAAAAACATATTAAGTTATGTGTGACGTAAGGATGTAATATATAAATCGTCAAAATACCAACTTTTTAATACAAAAAATGTATATAAAAAAAGATTCAAGCGAAAACAAGAACAAGGACCGCTTGCGATGGTGGTTCATCAATTGTAAAATGTTAATTTCACATTAAAAAAATGTTGTTCCTTTTTTAGATTAAAAGTGATTTGTTAATGTCTGAAAATGTGTTTATATATTTTTCTGTAATATTATGTTATTGAACGTAGAGTTAAAAAAAACACAGTGCAGTATATGGGTGTCCTTCGAATACGAACATTTCCTTTATTGGAAGCAAATCGAAAAGTGGTGCTTCATGTAAAAATGTGCGCTATTGTTCATTTTATAGCACGGCTTTATGAACATTCAGACGTCAGAGGCATGTAAAGGAAATTTAATTACGCTTCTCATATATCAAAATCAAACTGAGAGAGTTTCAATTTGATATTCCTGGCCTTGTATTTATAGATAGAAAGCTCCTAGAGAAAAAGAAGAGGAAAGAGAAACGCCCCTGTTCAATCAAAATTGAAAAATGTATAAGATGAATATTTTGTTTATAACAATAATAATAAAAAGACAAAACTTATTGATGAATCTTTCGAGAATGTTGAACGATGTTATTTGTCCTTGATGTAAATTTGAATTCTTTGTACCTAACATTTTCTCATTCAAAAGAAGTTGACTGGTAACGATCTAGCAGTCCTTGCTATAAGCAATTATGTCGCCTCGTATTCTTCGCTAAATAAAAGAATTACCCCAGAAGGGATGCTTTGGTACATTGACAGAAACAGCTTTTGTTCAGATAAGCATATCTATATTCATTCTCAGTGGCGTAGGTAAAGGGGGTATGGAGCATCCCGCCCCCCCCCAAACAAGTGATGCGTGGAAAAAATAATGAGAAATAAAGAAAAAGACAGGAAAGAGATAAAGGGAAACG